AGTAATGGTGTCTAGAAATGTTCTCTCTGCATCCTGCCCGGAGGCGACATGTTCCCAGGCAATATGGGGATAGTTGAAATCTCCCATAATTAGTGAGTTTTCTGGTTTCTGTAGCCTCTCTAACCTCCCTTAGCATTTCTCAGTTGCCGTCACCATCCTGGTCAGGTGGTCGGTAGCATATCCCTACTGCCAGACTCTGATTATTCAAGCCTGGGATTTCTACTCACCGAGAGTCTATGGGACCGTTTGCTTTATTTTAAACTCTTACTATAGTTGACTCTCTGCTTTCTTTCACTCATAGTGCCACTCCCCCACCAGCACGAGCCACTCTGTCATCCCTATACTCTGGTATTACCATGTCCCATCGATTATCCTCATTCCACCATGTAATGCTAGGCACTCTAGTTCACCCATTTTAGTATGTAGACTTCTAGCATCCGTATATAAGCACTGAGACACTTTGTCAATATTTAGTTTCTTGCCTTCATATGTTGTATTTAAATGTATTTAAATGAGACTCTTCTACATTTGACTGTTCCTCACGACCTCCTACCTGTAAGTTACCAACTTCTTTCCTCTCCTATATACTAGGACATAGAGTCCTGCCTTTAATAAATTCATCCCTAAGGGATGTGTCTGTGGTTTTCTGCACCTGTCGCCTTTCCCCCAGCCTTTAATTTAAAAAATCCTCTACAATCTCTTTAATTTTACGCACCAGCAGTCTGCTTCCATTTTGGTTATGGGGGAGCTCATCCCTCGTATATAGGCCACTTTTCCCCCCAAAAGTTCCCCTGTTCCTAATAAACCCAGACCTACACCATTGTCTCATCCCCACACTTAGAGTGTTTGAGTTGTGCTACTCTCACAGTGCAGATGTTGAGACCCTGCCCCTGTCATTTCTTGCGTAGATGAGGATTTCAGGTGTGAATTTCTTAGTAGAAAAAAATCTCTGTGGAAAAATCTGAAACCCTACTAACAATTAGGAAACTAATTAAAGAAACCAGTACAAAACATCCACTTAGCAATCTCAGACTCTGAAATAGGAAGAAAGTAACGTCCTAGCAACATGTGAGCAGAACAGCTGAGTGAAATTGTATTTTTAAAAATCATGACTTAAGTTTGAAAAAAAAATGAATCATGATTTTTATCTACTGTGTTCGGAGGGCTGAGTCCTGCCCTCCGTGGCTAAGGAGACACCCGTCCAGGAACATTCAGGCAGATCGACTCAGACTGTGCTGCTTACACACCCCGTCAGCCAGCTTGGCTCCCCTTTTATGTGTTTATTTGTACACAAAGAAACAAACGAGCATCGCTGCACAGCTCAGCCCTGGGAGTTCAGGGAGGGCAGAGGTGAGGTGAAAGCTCAGCCTCAGCTCTTCTCATTCTTACGTGCTAAAATGTAAATATTTTTTATTGGAAACCGATGTTAAATCGTGCCATGCTGTAGAAAGTCTGGACGTGCAGGGTGAAGGCTCCCAAACCACCTTAACTCTGCCCTTACAAGCCCAGCCCTCTCCATGACAGCCGTAGGCCTGCACACTGTACATCTTCATCGACAGAATCAGCCACCTCCCATGCTACACAGTCCCATATGCCACAGACGGACATGTTCCCACCCACCACTCTGTATGTGCCGTCCACTTGACCAGAGACCAGCCACTAATTGCCCTTCTTTAGCAAGGCAGCAACAGCACCATCTCCTGCCTTACACGTTGTAATACACCAGGGATTCTTGGCTTACATCCTCAGAGTATCCGGGGTTTAATATGGTACCTACCTGTGATAAAGAAATAGTGTGTCCTGGTTGACACATCTGCTTTACTCTGAGGGGAGTGGAGGAGACAGAAGGTGGGAGGATGGGGGCAGAGTCAAGGTTAATTCCATATTTTAACTGCACTTCCACCTTTTCCAATATTTGGGTTTTCTTAAGCGTAACTAACTTTGAATTTCCTGCTGGTATGTTTTTTACTTTTGTTTTTTAAATATTTCCGCTATGATTTGGAGCACTGTGTGTAACCTTTCCTCTTGCCTGAATCCTCTTTTACTTCTATACGATGTTCATAGAGAAGATCTGAATGGTTGGGCTTCTGGGTGGTTGGGTTTTTTTCAGCGTTGTGGGGGTTGATTTTGTTTGTTTGCTTTTTACTTTAGAAATATCAGGATTGTGAAACCAGGGTGTGTGTGTGTGTGTGTGTGTGTGTGTGTGTGTGTGTGTGTGTGTGTGTGTGTGTGTGTGTGTGTGTGTGTGTGTGTGTGTGTGTGTGTGTGTGTGTGTGTGTGCCTGATGACCTCCAGGAGGTCGTTTTGTCATCTCTCATACTAACCAGCCCTACAAGCCTGGGCTGAGAGTTTCAAACATGGCTAGTGATTTTTAGAAGCCTCAGTTCTTGGGTGCCCAACTTGAGACCCCTTAAAGGGTCCCTGATTCCAGGGAATGGGGGTTCAGCACTCTTTTGGACAATCGGCTCCCTTTCAACTGTCTCAAGTTTGGCACCCAACAACTGAGGTTTCCCCAAATCACCCGTCACTTTTGAAAACCTTGGCCTTTGCTCCTTACCGTTAACACGAACAGATTTCAGCTCCCCGTCTCCTTCAACATCTGCCCGCTCCTGCCTATTCGCCGCAGTCCTGGAAAACAGACAGTAGAGTTACCCAGGCAAAGGAGGGGCAGCACCCATTAGGAGACACATTTCCCCCCCACACCCCCCCACAATTGGGATGTTATCTTTACAAAGCAAGCCAGTCCACATGGCTCAGTTCAATAAACAGTCCTAGTGCCCCACTGTGCAGAGAATTCTTGCCACTTGAGACCTGATCTTGCCCCTGCAAGTTTGTTCAAAATGCTGCTACCACGAACCTCTTCCCGTTCTGATGCTGTGTCCTGCCAGCTCACTGCATCCATTGGCCCCCCATCCGGCACCGCCCCAAACACAAACTACTAGCGATTGCCTGGCCCGTCACACTGACCACTGCCGCCACCTCCTCCTTTTCCAGAAGCCGGCAGATGAATTCATTTTTCTACCACATCAATTTCAGGCTGCTTGGCCTTGCCTGAGGCCTTTCCTAGCTTCGCCCTGCCCTATCTGTCAACTCTTGCACATTATTGACATAGTGACTCCCACCTCGCTCTCCCTACTAGTCCAGGTGTCCCTCAAGCACCTCCAGGTCTTCTCTCATTCTGCCCTTTTATGCATGGCCGCTTCCCATGAAGATCCATCAGGCCATTGCGTTGCACTTCTTCTTCAAATCCCCCCTTAAACTCCCCTCCGCTGGGGGGCTTGCAAAAGGCTTAGGCAGTTGGTGGGCTGACTGCTGTTCTGTTCTCTCTCCTCCTTCCTGTTTGTTCATCTTATCTGCTGTCTCTCCTCTGTGCTTACCTGGGAGCTCTCTGGGGCGGGCCGTCTTTTCCTGTCAGTGCAATGGGGCTATAATGTGTGTTGTCACAGGATAAATAACAAACAACAATAATAGCAGGAATTGTAGACTCCGGGCTTAAGAGGTGACCATGAATGGAAGCTGATGGCCCCTCCTTACCTTTTTGCTGTGATGCATTTGCCATTGATTAACTTGGTAGAGGTGGAAGAGACGCAGAAGCCTTCTCCTGAGTTGAGGGATACAGCTGAAAAACAGGATGGCAAACTAACTGCAGGGAGCTTCCAGGCAGGGCCAGGCCTCGAATGACCCAGCTGGATCCCAGGAGGTTCCCTTAGCCAGCAGCATAAGAGGAGGGAACAGGTCCGCAAAGGGATGAGCTACAAGGCAGGGGAGAAAAGTGAAGAAAAATGTTCTTCCAGGATCCAGAGGGAGAATGAATGTCCTTGTGAGACATCAGAGCTGATCCAGGCAGCGAAGAGAACAGGGCTGTATAGAGAGCAGGGCTGGGCCAGACTGGGGGAGGAGTTGAAAGGGGACTGACTGTAGAGGAGAGCTGAGCCGAAGAGAGGAGAGAGCCTGGATGGACAGGAGAGGAGATCAGGTCTGGACAGGGAGACTCCAGAGAGCAGATGTAGCAAGATGGGTGTGTCTGGGAGAAGATTGCAGCTGCTCGGGTGAGGAGCAGGGCGGAGGGAGAGCGAAAGGGCTCTGGAGAAGTGGAGCCGATTGACAAGGAGGGATCAGGTGCTCGGTGGTGACTGGTATGAGGAGAGCAGGTAGGGCACATCCTTCTCTTTGGACAGAGAAGAAATAGTCTGCACACGTGGGTGTGGCCAATGAACGGTTCAGTAACCCATCCCTCCTGCCTCATGCTCAGGCCAGCCACTCAACTAGACAGGCCCAGCTACAGTGTCAGTCAGACGCCCTCTGCCCTTTCCTACTGTCCCTCACCTCGATGGCCGTGTTTCCAGCTGGCCTTATCTGTCTGCCCCTTATTGTTCCTCAGGCCTTGGCATCTCCCCCCCCACCCCCATGCTAGCTGTGCCCATTAGCTTTACCCCTAGGGTGCCAGTCCGGGGGGGGCTATCAGTCCGGATGCTGCTAAAAGCCAGGGACAGTTCCTCTATTGAGCCCAGTAACTTCTCAGCACATCCAGTCCTGGGTTCAAGCCCCCCCATGAGGGAATATTTCCCACACCCCTTGGCAAGCTGCTCCGGTGACTGACCACCTTCACTGGCCAGCGTTTTGCCTCTTAAAGCTGAATTTAGCTAACTGAACTCCAAGCCACTGGATTTTGTCATGCCTCCACCTGCTACAGGAACGAGCCCTGAAGTATCATGTATGATTGTCTTGTGGTCAGGTCACCTCTCAGCCTTATGTTCAGTGAGCTGAATAGCTTGAGCACGTTTAGTCTCACTGTAAGGTGTGATTTCCAGACCACAGATCATCCTTGTAGCACTTTTCTGAGCCCTCTCCTCATTTTCAACATTATTTTTATTTCAACATCCTTGTTTAAAGAAGTGGTTCTCAACCAGGGTCCGCGTACCCTGGGGGTATGCAGAGGTCTTCTAGGAAGTACATCAACTCATTTAGCTATTTGCCCTAGTTTTACAACAGACTATATAAAAAGCACTAGCGAAGTCAGCACAAACTAACATTTCATACAATGACTGGTTTATACTGCTCTATATCCCATACACCGAAATGTAAGTACACTAGTTATAGTCCAATCGATGTATGTGATAATTATATGGTAAAAATGAGAAAGCCAGCATGTTTCAGTGCTAGTGTGCTGTGACACTTTTGTATTTTGATGTCTGATTTTGTAAGCAAGTTGTTTTTAAGTGAGGTGAAACTTGGGGGTACACAAGACCAATCCGCCTCTTGACAGGGGGACATTCCTCTGGAATTTGGAAAGCCGCTGGTTTAAAGTATTGACACTAGCTCTAGCTTTGCAGCAGGCGTTTCATACTGTACTTCTCTAATAGCAATTACTGGACAGCTGATGGCCTGTACTATTGGTGGCCTAACAGGCCATTACAATTACCTCTTCTCCTTGCCCATCAGTACTGTCATGGTGACAGGGCTACCTGTACCTTTTACCGCTTTTCCGGTGTCCCTGAGTGCACCCCACAATTGGCAGGCCTTGTGCCCTGCCCTTTGCTGGGGTGGAAGCCCGTGAGTCTCCCACTCTTCCACTGGGACCTGGGCTACAACCTCCTGTGTGTCAACCATGCGAACCCCAACAGGCCTGGCTGGGCTACGGTAGGTACCTGCAGTTCTGTCAGGGTGAATTTGTCTAGTTTTAACTTCCAGCCCTTGGATAGTTAGAGAGCTCTGTAATGTATTGTGCTAGTCAAATATATGTACTAAATAATGTTAGAGAAATGAATATTATATAGAGCATTGTAAGAAAATATAAAGGGATCTTTGCTTTTGGTATTTGTCTGTGCTAATGCAGCATTTCAGCATTTAGCTGAAAGAGCTTCAGGGTTATATAAACCATGAAACTGGTTATTGTGTCTTTATCTGTAAAATGCATGGCCTATGCAAATAGCAGGGTGAAGCAGAGTGTGGAATGGAATTGTTAACTCCAGGGGTGTCCCTCTTCCTCCCCCGCCCCCACAAGCTAACAAGTAAAAACCCAGGGCCACAAAAACAGATCAGTAAGAAGAATTACAACTACTATAAGATTTAAAAACAAAAAACTGGATGGAACCAGTAGGGATGACAGAAGTAGACAGCTAAAAATACATTGTAGCAGGATAAGCAAAAATGTATTTGTTTAGGTGAGTTATTGTGACATATGCATGAGAATGTCTTAATGAGGGGTTTAGAATAGATCGGTACATAGCTAAGGTAACTTGGTAAAAGGAGTCTGTGCAACGTTGTGGAAGAGAGGATGAAAGACAGGTGATTAATGAGAGAGTGGTGAAGACACAGGAATAAACATAGCAGGGATCAGAGATTTAAAGAATTTACCTTCCTTGAGAACAGGGTTGTGATCACTTACTTTTCTTGCCTTATCTACTTTTGCATGTATATGTAATTCATAGGTAAGGCCCTACCAAATTCACGGCTCTGAAAAACACATCACGGACCGTGAAATCTCATCTCCCCCATGAAATCTGGTTATTGTAGGGGTGTCATGGTATTGCCACCCTTACTTCTACGCTGCCTTCAGAGCTGGGAGGCCAGAAAACAGTGGCTCCTGGCCAGGCATCCGACTCTGAATGCAGTGCTGCTGCCAGCCACAGTGCAGAACTGAGGGTGGCATGGTATGTGGGGGTGTCACTTCGGGGAGGGCAGGGCCAGCCTTATGGGTGGGCGACACAGGCGACCAATCAGGGTGCCATGGTCGGGAGGCTCTCTGGTCTCCCTCCGACCCCCACACAGACAACCCAAGGTCCCGAGGAGCAGGGCTACGGGTGCCCTGGCTGGGGAAGCCTACCCTGGCCAGGCTCCAGTTGCTATCCCCAGCCAGGCTACAGAGGGACAGGACTTCCTCTTCCCCTGCGGCCGGGGCAGACCCAACTCTGGTGGTGGCGCAGAAGTAAGGGTGGCAATACCATCCCATGCCACCCTTGCTTCTGCGCTGCTGCTGGTGGCAGTGCTGCCTTCACAGCTGGGCTCTCGGCCAGCAGCTGCCGCTCTCCAGCTGCCCAGCTGTGAAGGCAGCACCACCACCAGCAGCGCAGAAGTGAGGGTGGCCAGACCACGAGCCCCTTACAATAGCCTTGCGCCCTCCCCCACGACCCCTCTTTGGGTCAGGGCCCCCACAGTGACAACACGGTGACATTTCAGATTTAAATATCTGAAACCATGAAACTTGAGATTTTAAAAATCCCATAACTGTGAAATTTACCAAAATGGACCATGAATTTGGTAGGGCCCTATTCATAGATAAGTGTTGTCTGAAAACATACAAATAAAAGCTAAAAGGAACTATTGAAGCCTAAGTCAAAGGGGATATCATTTTTCACCCAACAGGATCTTGTTACACCTTTGTCTGCTAGAGTGAAGAACCCTCTGTTATCTCACTCCACATTGTACTTCCGGACTGTGATCACGTCGCCCCTTAGCTTTCTCTCTGTTAATTTAAACAGATTGAACTCCTCGAGTCCCATGATCAGGCGTGCTCTTCTGTGAACCCACTCCTATTTACCAACATCCATCTTGAATTGTAGACACCAGAACTGGATGCAGTATTCCAGTAGCAGTCGCACTAGTGCTAGATACAGAGGTAATATAACATCCCTACTGCTTAGATTTCCCTGTATAGACATCCAAGGATCACAGCCCATTTGCCCACCGCATTGTGCTGGGAGCTCATGTTCAGCTGATTATCCACCAGGGCCCTCAAGTCCTATTCAGAGTCACTGCTTGCCAGATAGAGGCCCCCATCCGGCGAGTGTGGCCGTCAGTCACTTCCTAGAGGTATGACTTTATATTTGGCCATGTTAAAACTCTTATTAGTTGCTTGCACCCATCTTACGAGGCAATCCCGATGGCTCTCTGTCAGTAACTTGTCCTCTTCGTTATTTACTGCTCCCCCAATCTTCCTATCGTCTGCAAACTTTATCAGTGAGGATTTTACCTTTTCTTCCCGGCCACTGAAAAATACGTTAAATAGCACAGGGCCAAGTACCAATCCACTAGAAACACGCCCTCTTCATGAAGATTCCCCTTTTACAATTACATTTTGAAACCTATCTGTTCATCTGGTTTGATGTGTGCCATGTTGATTTTGCATCATTCTGATTTCTTAATCAAAATGCCATCTGGTACCAAATCAAAAGCCTTTCAGAAGTCTAAGTATATTACATCAACTGTGTTACTTCTATCAAACAAACTTGTATTCTCCTAAAAAAATCAAGTTACTTTGACAGGATCTATTTTCCATAAACACATGTCAATTGGCATTAATTATATCACCTTCCTTTAATTCTTTATTGAATCCCGGATGAGCCATTCCATTATTTTTCCCAGGATCGATGTCAAGCTGACAGGCCTGTAAATACCGAGGCGTCCTATTTACCCTTTTGAAAATATTGGCACATTAGCTTTCTTCCAGTCTTCTGGAACTTCCCCACTGTTCTAAGACTTATTGGAAATTAGCTTTAACAGTCCAGAGAGCTCCTCGGCCAGTTCTTGTAAAATTCTTGGATGCAAATTGTCCAGATCTGCTGATTTAAAAATGTCTATCTTCTAGTAACTGCTGTTTAACATCCTCCTGGGGTACTGCTGGAATGGAAAGTGTTTCATCATCATCTGATATGACTACATCTGGCTTTTTCCCAACTACCGAACAGAAATATTGAATGAACACTTTTGCCTTTTCTGCATTGTTATTGACAATTGTATCATTTCTATCTAGTGACGACCCAATACTTGTAACTGCTAGAACTCAGAAGTAGCATATTCACAGCTAATAGCTCGGGCCTTCTCTTAATGACCCCTGACCTGTCTACCACAACCAGTTCTCTTATCTGCAGCCATTGTTTTGCCTTTTCCCCTAACAGCCCTCCTAGTCAATCATTTTACGAAACCAGTGTGTGTGTACTATAAATGTTGCAGTACTCCAATACAGCTATGCAGTAGCTATCCCGATAAGCAGCTCATGGACAGTATTCAGAAACAGTCAACCCCACCTCCATCACAACGGCTCCCTAGTCTTTCTGGGCTATTTATAGAGCTTCAGTCTCTGCAGGTTCAAGAAATATCCAAGTGTCAGGTCTCAGTGCTGATACCGTAATTAGACGTATCATCTGCCTTCCATCCTGCTGACTACCAGGTGATGTTGTGGGAACGGTGGATGAGGTGCTTCGGAGTGGCTTTGCTGTTGGTTGCTCTCCTCCCGTGAGGGCTCTCGCATGTGGGGCTCAGTAGGGCTCCATTCTCTCCTCTCTTTGGTTCACTGTGTATATGGCTGCTGGGAAGGTTGCTAGGGGGTGTGGTGCCTTTGCTCTAAATCACCATCTCCTCTGACTCCCATGGTGCAATTAAAGCCTTAGCCAGTGTCTGCAGGAAGAGGGTGAACTCAACCCCAATAAACCTATGTTGCAAGCTCTTCCAGGTAGGGACCATCTTTTTGTTGTGTGTTTGTCCAGCTCCTAGCACAAAGGGGCCCTGATCCAGGACTGGGGCAGTTAAAAGTATTGGGTCGTCACTAGATAGAAATGATACAATTGTCAATAACAATGCAGAAAAGGCAAAGTTTAGTACCACAATACTACTAAACAATAATTATCCTCAAAATAGAGACCACTGGGGAGGTGGTTGCAGGATGGGAATGGTCATCCACTGTGGGATTCCTCCACCACACCCAAGTCTAGCATTTCTTGGATTGACATGGTATCCCACGTCGTCTTGGGTAGGGGCCGAGGGATCTCCCTCACCCTCTGTCCAGGGCAGGTCTCTGTGCAATGATATGTCAGGTGGGTACACCCCAGCAGGGCAGAGAATACCTGAGGGAGTGCTTGTACCAGCTGATCCATCTGGGCCTTTTGTTCAGCCCCAAGCATCTCCGCTAATTTGACAGCGTTATTAGCCTCTGTTGTTGGAATCTCTGGTCTCAGTCCAGGGTCAATGGCGAGTGGGGTGATACAGAAGGCTTGCCCGTCACACCAGGTCTTTAGTAGGTTGACATCGCAGATGTGGGTGTCTTTTCTTTTGCCTGGGTGCTGTAGGCCCAGCTGACTAGGAGGTACAAGTTGCAATACCTCTAAAGGTCCCTGCCATTGGGCCAGTAGCTTGGACTCTGTGCTTGGCAACAGCAGAAGAACTTGGTCCCCCAGCTTGAACTCTCCTAACCGGCCTTCATGGTTGTATGTCACTGCCTGATGATGCTGAGCCTCCTGTAGGCTCTGATGGGCAAATGCCCCCAACCTTTCCAGCTGCTTCTGCAACTGAAAGACATATTGGACTAGGTTTTTCTGCTCGTGGTCCTTGACTTCCCCAGCACTCCCGTAATAAATCGAGGATGTCCCAGAGCTGTCTGCCATATAACAAGCTGAAAGGGAGGAAACCCATGGATGCTTGGGGAACCTCCTGGATAACAAATAGTAACAGAGGCAACAGTGATCCCAGTGCTTGGGGTCTGTGACGACAAACTTTTTCAACATCCCCTTGAGGGTCTTGTTAAAACGTCCCACTAAGCCATGAGTCTGTGGCTGGTAGGACGATGTTTTTAACTCGGCTGTCTTCAGGAGACTACACATATCCTGCATCAGGCTGAATGTAAGGTTGGGTCCCTGGTCGGTCAAGATTTCCCATGGCCAAGAGTTTCACTTGCTATTGTGCTTGCGTTGATAGATCGCAAGGGAATCGCTTCTGGATAATGTGTTGCATAAGCCACTATTACCAATGTATATTGATGGCCTGCCGAGCTCTTTTCTAAGGGGCCAGCTAGATCTAACCCTGTCCTCTCAAAGGGGGTTTCTGCTCGGGGCAATGGGACAAGAGGTGCCGGTTTGACCCCTTAACCCCTGAGAGTTGGCAGTCTGGCCAAGGCACTCAGGAGTCTGCAACATCCTGGACACTCCAGGCCAGTAAAAGCCAGCCATGAGGCAGTCAAAGGTTTTCTCTCTCCCTAGGTGCCCTACACAGGGCACCTCGTGGGCCAAGTGGAGTACCTCCTGCCTATGCACTTTTGGGGACTAGCAGTTGGGCCCTAGCTTCCTTGTCTGTCTTGCTCACACTATGCGATAAAGCCGGTCTCCCTGTAATTGGTCATGCATGCATGCAGGGTCTCCCAGGCCAGTGCACTGCCCACAGGACAACCCTTCTTCCCAGTCCTCCCAGGCCACCTTGTTATACCATGAGCCACGGCAGATGGCAACTGGCAATGGTTGTCTTCTGCTGAGTCTGGCAGATGGCAGCTCAGAGACAAGTTTCTGCCCTGGCTCTGGTGGCCGGGAGAAGGCTTCTTTCCTTCCCCACCATCATGCCCACGAAGGCCTGAGCCGCCAAGCCGTTCCTGCTGCCAGATGAACCCCAGCTGCTTCCACTTCAACCGATTCAGAATTTCTCTGCTCCACAGACAAGCCTGGCCGGGCATGGGCCAGACTGGCCATTTCCCTGGCAGCAGGTCTGGGCTAGGGCAGGACAGATGTCACCTCTCTGGGTGAGATCTGACCAGCCTTCCTCGCTGAGGTTCTAAGACGTGCTGGTGAGCTTTAGCCCACAGCCCACAAGCCAGACCCATCCCTGTCCTGGCAGGGGAGACCTGCTGGGGTGGGGAGGGTGTTGAGCTCACCGTTGGCTGAGGTTTATGGCCCTTCCCAGGGCAGAGCGCGGGGCCAGGCTCCCTAGGTGGTGGGTATTAGGCCCATGCCCAGGAGACCAGCCCTTGTCTGACCCTTGTGCTTCTTCCTACATCCCCTTTCCACTCTCTGCTCTGCACCAATTGCATCAGCCACTGTCTGACCACTGCCTAGCTCAGCATCCGCCCTTCTCCATTGAGCTCCCCAGGACCTCAGCCCCACGCGTACAGCTCCGCCATACCTCCCTGTGTCGGAAGAGGCCGTGCTGCTGGCTGTGTCATAGTCACACTCCACCTCGCTCTGGTTTCACGACACACTGCAGAGCCCAGCCCTGCCTGGCCGGCGCTGCCTGGAGACCAGGGGAGGCTGATTGTGATGTCAGGACTTTGTACTTGGCATTTGAGGCCTGCGGTTGGTTACAAAAATCAACCACAGGCAACAAGTGGAAAAGATGGTTTAACCCCTTATTTGCCAATCCTTCCTGTTACCCAGGGTGCTGCTCTCACCATTAACTCTTTCCCTGTCTGCCTTTGTTTGTTATTCATTGTACGTTGCCTGAGCTGTGCACAGCAGTCTGCATGCACTGCACACATTCCTTAGGGCCACCCAGGACACTAATTGCTCTAGCAATGAATAGGTTGTAGAGCCAGGCAGATGGAAATCATTGTGCTGAGCTGGTATCTTTCATTTCACTAGAGGTGTTTCTAGAGCATCTTTCCTCATCAGGTCGCGGTGCTAAAACCCCGCTGGTGAGTCCCTGAGTGCCTACATGGCTCTGCTCTTCTCTGAGCTCCCTCCAGCTTTACAGAATCCCATGTGAGGTGGGGACACGGGGCCCAGAGGAGGCGGCACCACTGAGTTATATGAAAGCCGGCCTTGTAATATTTTCTGTACTATTCTGTCCCTTTTTTCTTTGTATTCAAACATCCTCTTTTGACCACATCTGCATATTGAGCAAGGTCTCCACTGAACTCCGTATCACTACGTCCCAAATCCTTTCTTGGGTTGATACAGCTCATTTAGACTCCTGCAAGGTAGAGTAGTTTAATTTTTTCCCCTCCAGTGTGTATTACTTTCCATTTGTCAACATTAAATGTCATCTGCCATCGTGTGTCCCGTTCCCCTAACTTGTTCAGGTCTCGGAAGTTCCTCACAGCCCTCTCCGATCTTGACTAACTGAAATAACTTTGTCATCTGCAAATTTTGCTACCTTACCCCCTTTCCAGATCATTAATATGTAACCCTTCTATCCCTCTGAGTTGGCAGCAACAAGGGCCGGGTTCAGTATCTAGGGGTTCCGTTTCAATAACACAATGCAAAACCGGCTCGAGCCCCCACCCAGTGACCTGGGACAATTATATACCTCCCTCCTGGGCGCCTCTAGGAGGCAATACTTCCCCTCTCACAAGCACAGAGTCTGAGTGTAGCAAAAGCCTTTTAATAAAGGAGGGAAACAATGTGGCGTTATGTTGGGGAAACACCAAAAACTGGATTCATAACACAAACCATGAGCAAAAGACCCATCTCCAAGTAAGTTTGGCAGTGTCCTTTTCCCCTCAGGGTCTTAAGTCCAATCACCCCAAAGTCCAACAACCCCAAAGTCTCTGTCCCTGGTCAGTGCCGCCCCAGAGTTCAAAAGTTTATCTGCAGAGTTTTACCTCCCCAGCCTGGGCGGAAATGGGGGGGGGGCACACGGGATGTTAAGGGCTCCTTACGTGGTCTGAGGCCGACTGCCCCACCTCTCCGTGGAGTTCTGCTGTAGCCTTTACCATGAATGGCTCCGCTGCACGCCGCGCCACTCCTCCAGCCATCCCCACAAACTGCTCCGCTCTGCTCCCTGTTCCGTGGGTCGCTCCAACCATCCCACAAACTGCTCAGCTCTGCCAGCCGCTCCACTCCACCAGCCCTCCCATGAACCGCTCCAGCTGCCCCCGCAAATGGCTCGGCTCCACTCCGCTCGCTGTTCCATGGGCCGCTCCAACCGTCCCACAAACTGCTCGGCTCTGCCAGCTGCTTAGCAATATATCTTCAGGCTCCCCCACTAGTTAACACAGCACTCAGTGATTTCAGCTTGTAGTAGGGGAGCTCCAGTGCTGGTGCACCATTGGCCCAAAGTGAATTCAGTTCAGTAACTTCTAGCTAGACTCCTAATGGAAGCAAACTTAGCTCTGCTATTCAACAATGGAGAGCGGTAGTGCAATTGGTGTTCCAGGCCCTCAAAAGGGGCCCATATTACCAAGTACACATACCTGTCCCCAACCTCTCTCAATACACTGGGTTTTGTAACCCATGCCCCTTGTCTAGCGCGTGCTACTTAGTTACTGGTGAGTCCCTCTGTCATACAACAGTTCCACTGGCCTTGATTCACAGAATCAGGGTAACAACACTTTATTCTTCCTGCTCCAATAACAGAGAAACTGCGGATCCCACACCAGCCAAAGTAACCACTTTCAGTTGTTGTTGTCCCAGGCTAGGCGGGTGGGTGTGCCTATGCAAACAAGATCAGGCTCTGAAGTTCTTTTCCACCCTCGCCATAATTCACCACCAGATGTCAGGGTAGAGCTTATCCTGACTCTGCTTACAAATAAATATATGAAACAACAAGGGACCTCGTATGAAACCTTGCAGCCCCGCTGTTAACCTTCTGCCATGATGAAAATTGACCATTTAATCTTACTCTTTGGTTTCCATCTCTTAGCCAGTTTTTGATCCATAACAATACTTTGCCTCTCACCCCACTGAGGACTTTGCTTCTTTAGCAGTGGATTGTGCAGGACCTTGCCAAAGGCCTTTTGGAAGTCTATATAACATATCCACTGGTCTCCTTTAGCCATTACTTTATTGGCACATTCAAAGAATTCTTAAGAGATTAACAAGACACAACTTTCCCTTGCAGATCCATGCTGGTTAGACCCTATTAAATCATGATCTTCCAGATTTTATTCTGTTATTAATTATCAGTTCAACCAATTTCGCAGATACAGATGCCTTTTTAAATATGGATATGAAATTTGCTACCTTCCAATCTTCTGTTTGTAGTTAGTGTAACAGGGTATGCTGGCCCTTTAAGGCGAGAGCACTCAGCGCTACCCCACTGCAGGAGTTCTGGAGCAGACGAGGGCCTAGGGAATGGCAGAGGCAGGTGCTGGGAGGAAGTGGTCCTGGGGTAAGAGTTAGTGTCTGTGGGGGAGAACCCACACTACTAGCAGGACCATCTGGGCCTGGTTACTTGATGCTTTTTAAATTAGAAATTTGCTCCAGCCCCTCTTCTTCCATCATCATCCCTAGCTTCTGCTTGCTGGGAATGGGCAACAGGGGATGGATCATTGATTACCCCCGGTTCTGTTCATTCCCTCTGGGGCACCTGGCATTGACCACAGTCGGAAGAGAGGACACTGGGCTGGATGGACCTTTGGTCTGACCCAGACTGGTCTTTCTGATATTCTTATGTTCTTATCTATCTCTAAAAGTGCCTTGCCTTTGTTACCAAGAAAGAGCAGGCCCAGGACAGGAGTCTCCCCACCACCCTTGTTGGAGAAGACTGATGCAAGCAATCTTCTAGCTTCTCAGCAATGTCCTTATCTCTTTTTCGATCGTCCCTTAGCGCGCCAGCAGACCTACTGAGTCATCTGCAGGATTCCTGCTTCTAATGGACTGAAAGAATCAGTTTGGTTTTTATACCTTTAGCCATTTGCTCTTAAAACTCCATTCTGGCCTTTCTTTCCCTCTTATTATTGCCTGCTGTAATTGATGCTTCTGGTGGTCGGCTTCACTAGGGTCAGATTTTCACATATTGAAGGATTTCTGTTTGAATCAAATAGCATCTTGGTTGCCTTTTAGCCAAAATGGTTTACACTTTGCCTTCCTGGTTCACTTTGTGCTCAGCGCTCTGCGTGCCTGCTGAGACTCCACAAGTATTTTTGTAAGGAGCATTCAAGCCACCTCTATGAATGGTACTTCCTTTACTTTTAGCTTTAGGGCCTTTTTGATTAACCTTCTGAATGTATTTAAGTTTCCCTTTCTAGAGCAGTGTCACTGGGGGGGTACTTACCTCCCTCTAGGATTTGAACCTCCTCATACCATGGTCACTAGTACTCAATGGCTCACCTTCCTGTTGCTTCTGAATTAGCTCCTGGGTGTTACAACTCTCAAGAACAGCCTCTCCTCTTGTGTGCTCTAGAACGACCTGCTCCAAGAAGCAAATCACTTTAATGTTGAGACATTATTTCTCTGTCCGGTTGTGCCATTTGGCCAGTTTATAGGAGGTAGTTAAAGTCTCCCATTGTCGTTTTGTTGGATTTTGCTGCATCTTTGATCTCTCTCAATATTGGGCACTCCATTTCCCCCCTTGATCTGGAGACCACTGGTATAGATCCACTAGTATATTCCTACAGCTTTGGATTTGTAACCACATAGATTCAATTGCGTGGTCTTTTCCACGCCAAATTTGTCTCTTGCTAGATTGTATGGAATCCCTTATACATCAGTGGACTCTCCTTCCTGTACAGTTTATAACCAGATGTTACTGGGTCATTCCCCCATGTTTCTGTAATGCCTATTATTATAGCAGGGTCCTCGTCCATTCCCAAGCATTCTTGGTCACTTATTTTTTTGCTTTTCAACTTCTTGCATATGTATATAGATACAAAAGTAGTTTTTATGATGGACCAGCTGCCTGTTCTGATTAAACTGTTTGATCTGACATCCTACTGATTTTGCAGAATTGGCCTCTATACTTTTATAATGTTCCTGCTCTAGTTAAGTTGTAATTTGCACCCTGTCCTTCACTAGATCCGTAGATACCATTATATTACAGCCAGCTTTAACAGCTGTCTTTCCAATTTCGTAGAATCATAGGACTGGAAGGGACTTAGAGAGGATCATCTAGTCCAGTCCTCTGCACTCAAGGCAGGACTAAGTGTTATCTAGACCATCCCTGACAGGTATTTGTCTAACCTGCTCTTAAAAATCTCCAATGATGGAGATTCCACAACCTCCCTAGGCAATTTATTCCAGTCTTTAACCATCCCAACAGGAAGTTTTTCCTAATGTCCAGGCTAAACCGCCCTTGCTGCAATTTAAGCCCATTGCTTCTTGTCCTACCCTCAGAGGTTAAGAAGAACAATTTCTTCTCCCTCCTCCTTGTAACAACCTTTTATGTACTTGAAAACTGTTATCATGTCCCCTCTCAGTCTTCTCTTCTCCACACTAAACAAACCCAATTTTTTCAATCTTCCTTCATAGCTCATGTTTTCTAGACATTTCATCATTTTTGTTGCTCTTCTCTGGACCTTCTCCAATTTGTCCACATCTTTCCTGAATGTGGCACCCAGAACTGGACACAATACTCCAGTTGAGGCCTAATCAGTGCGGAGTAGAGCGGAAGAATTACTTCTTGTGTCTTGCTTACAGCATTACTCTTAATACATCCCAGAATGATGTTTGCTTTTTTTGCAACAATGTTACACTGTTGACTCATATTTAGCTTGTGATCCAATATGACTCCTAGATCTCTTTCTGCGGTATTCCTTCCTAAGCAATCATTTCCCATTTTGTATGTGTGCATATAATTGTTCCTTCCTAAGTGGAGGACTTTGCATTTGCCCTTATTGAATTTCATCCTATTTACTTCAGACCATTTCTCCAGTTTGTCCAGATCATTTGGAATTTTAATCCTATCCTCCAAAGCACTTCCAACCCCTCCCAACTTGGTATCGGCCGCCAAACTTTATAAGTGTACTCTCTATGCCATTATCTAAATCATTGATGAAGATAGGGAACAGAACCGGACCCAGAACTGATCCCTGCGGGACCCCACTGGTTATGCCCATCCAGCCTGACTGTGAACCACTGATAACGACTCTCTGGGAACAGTTTTCCAACCAGTTTTGCACCCACCATATAGTAGCTCCATCTAGGTTGTATTTCCCTAGTTTGTTTATGAAAAGGTCACGTGAGACAGTGTCAAAAGCCTTACTAAAGTCAAGATATACCATGTCTACCGCTTCCTCCCCATCCACAAGGCTGGTTACCCTGTCACAGAAAGCTCTCAGGTTGGTTTGACACGATTTGTTTTTGACAAATCCAGGCTGACTGTTACTTATCACCTCATTATCTTCTAGAGGTTTACAAATTGTTTGCTTAATGATTTGCCCCATTAACTTTCCGGGTTCAGAAGTTAAGCTGACTGGTCTGTAATTCCCTGGTTTGTCCTTATTTCCCTTTTTATAGATGGGCACTAGATTTGCCCTTTTCCAGTCCTCTGGAATCTCTCCCACTCCCCTGTCCAGTGCCCTCAGATCCACTGTTTCCAGCAGAGCATCTCCGAGACTGTCCCCACACCAGTACTCACACCAGCCAACTTGGCATTCAGGTCATAGCTGCCTTTGGCACAAGGCATGTGCCTTCTTTAGCCCCAAAGCCTGCCAGGCCAGAAGCCACCTGCCTGTGGCTACTTAAAGGCATTGTGTGGGGAGCAGGGGAGGGTGTTGCCACACTCTATACAGGGCCTCAGGGCTGAGCCGCCTAACACTTGTTTTCACACAGTTGTACTTTTCCCAAAACAACCCCGGCTGCCTTGTACACGCACCCCCCTTTCCCTTCCCTGGGCACTCCTCAAAGAGAGCCAGACCAGAGCCCCGAGCCACAGCAGTCAGGGGGCTGTAACCTCCTGACAGCACTGGGGGGAGCCAGGCGCTCTCTGGGCTCTTAGTGGGCCCCCGTCACCTTTGTGCCTGAGTAGCTAGAAGGACCCATTTCCTCCCGTGTGCCATGGGAGTAGCAGCCGTGGAAGAGCCTTGAGCTGCAAACAGCCCCCACCATACTGGGCCCCTAGAGGCCAGACCGGTCCTCGGCCGTGAGACAGCTCTGCTCCTGTCCTTGTCGAAGCAGCTGCTCACCGGCTGACTCTGCAGCGAATGACAGAGACAGAGGCTGAGAGCTCTGGTCCCATCTGTATTGAGCAGCTCCTCGCCTGCTGGCCAGTGCCAGCTGGAAACCTTCACAACAGATCCCACTGTTCCTAGCGTTCTCCCCAGCCCGGCCGGGGGAAAGTGATTATGGGAGTCGCTGGGGTTAAGGGACAAGACACGGAGATTGCTTCTGTCTGAGAACCTGCTTGTCTCATCCTGGGGCCAACTGGTGACGTCAGGGAGCCGACTTGTTCCGCTGGACACCGGACTCCATTCTTAGTTCCACACGGGCGCTGACTTGTATCCAGAAGCAGTCGCATCCCACCCGTCGCCGTCCTGTTCTCAGCAGCTAGCTCATTCCAGCCAGGAGCCAGCTCCTACCTGGCGGCTGGCTTCTTCCACTCAGCAGCTACTGCGTGTGTCTCGCTCCTGCAGGCCTGCAACTCTTCACTCCCAGCACATGCCTCCTTCCCCAGCCTGGGCCTCTCTTCTCTCGCATACGACTAATTCCGCCCAGCCTGCGGCTCGGAGCTGAGATTCGACTGGGCCCTAGCATGGGACTCTTTCTTTTCCGTGTGGGACTCTTGCCTCCCCATTGGTGACTCGGATCCAGGAGCTGACTTGTGTCTGGCCTGCGGCTTGTTCCGCCCAGAATGCACCTTGGTAGGCCCTGCTGCTGCTCTACTGCTTGTCTCGTCAACCGCCACATCTGCAAGAATTGACCCTCATCAGCATTTGTAGCAGAGACGACTCAGACACCTCTCCAGCGACAGAGCAGCAGCCATGAGCCTGCGCTCAGCCCTCCCCCCAGTACCCCCTGAGAAGAGTCCTTGGGCCAGGAACTGGAGGCCCAGCTTTAACCCCCCATCCCCCACTGGGACATCCCCTAGGACGGTAACCGAGGCCCAGGCTGCCCTGGCAGCTGGGCCTTCACTCAGCACTAAGGACCTTGGTTGACCTTAAGGCCCTTACTCCACTGGCGGGCGAGCTGTAGAGGATGGTCCAAGGGGTGTTGGTCAAGAGCAGCCGGGTCCAGAGGGACTTAGCTGGTGGCAGCTGGATTTGGGGGACTTGGTCAGTGATGGGAGGAACCAAGGGGACTTGGTCAGGGGCAGCTGGGTCCTGGTGGGCTCAGAGAGAAGCAGCGGGACCCGGGTGCCAGTGAGCACAGGCAGCTGGGTCCTGGCACCTTCACTCGGAGGTTCAGGACAGCACGGTCTAGGATGGCCTCTGTCAAGGCGACAGCTGTTCCAGAGGCAGCACGCTCGGGCTGTGCATCGTGCATGCGCCGTCCTCTACCATTTTTCTGATTCTTTAAATAAACAGGGAAATTACAAGCAGCAAACGAGTGTGGCTGCAACATTACCCTGGCAACTGGCGCTTGGAATTCAGAGGGAGGGTGGAGTAGAGGGGAATGTGCAGCCTGAGCTCAGAGCTCTTTGCATAGCCTTTAAAAGTATCCCGTCCCCAGCTGTCCTCTATTTGCAGCTCCCTGGTGTTGTGGAAATCCAGTAAAGGAGGCAGTTGCAGCCAGAGGTCTTGGCAGCCTGGCTGTAATGAAGCTGAGCAGAGCTGGGCTCAGAGCCAGTGTAGATGCAAAAGGTGTGTGTGTGGAGGTGGACCCCTCAGATGGGTGCTGACCTCAGACAGAGTGCAGGGTTAGAACCCGCCCATGACTGCCTGTAGCCCTGAGGGAACAATGAGGGAGTTCTGCAAGAGTGGTTTCCTGCCTCCAAAGGGTTTCCCAGAGGCAATGGGCACGTAGTCGCTCTGGATGGCATTAGTAGCTGACAGTGGAATCTATCATGTAATTAATGTCCCGTACAGTCCGAGACACAGGAGATACAGCACAGCGGGCAGGAGAACTGAGTCTGTGCTCACTTCCACTGTGTCAGGCCGGATTACACCAGTGAAACGAGATGCACTCGGAGTCTTCACGCTTGGCTTGATTTTTACATCTCAGTGAGATCTAGAAAGCCAAACGTGGGGAACTCCATTGGGCATGTTCAAGGTCTGAATGTTTAAATTTTGAATATGTTTATTATGGAAACATCTGTTCAAATGTGGTCACCCTGTAGAAAGTCTGGCAACGCCGGTTCCCAAATCCCCTTAGCTCTCCCCTCCTGTACTCAGGCCTCACTTCCCAAAATCATGAAACAGCCATTTGCTTGCACACTGTACATCTTCAGCATCAACAGTGTCCTGCACTACACTGTCCCATACCGGCCACCAACCCACCCTGTTTGTGCTGCCTGCTGGGCCAGAGAGCAGCTTCCAATTCACCCTCCTTTGGGAAGGTAGCAATATCTTGAGCCCTGGTCTTTGTAACACCCCAAAGATCAATCCAGCTCCCTCCCACCTCCTTAATGCACTTCCATCATGCCAGTCATCCAGTGAGTTACCGGCCTTAACGGCACACAATGGTCAGGCTTCCTATAGACACCCCCCCACCCCTGCCCAAAGCTACACAGACTCTGCAGGGTAAATCACAGCGAAGGTGGCTGCAGGTGTCAGCCCTTGCAGGACAAATCCCAAAGCATCCAGGGTTTAAATGCCCAAGGCAGCAGAGTTCCTTGGAAGCTGTGCCAAAGTATCTGGGGTTCAACATGTTACTTCCCTCTTCTCGCTATCAAACTGGCTACTGTCTGTGCCCAGCTGCTGTCTGTCTGTCAGGCTAAGTCACTGGCAAGGTGCATGTTTATAACTGGGGCCCTACAGACCGTGAAATCTGGTCTCCCCCCGTGAAATCTGGTCCTTTGTGTGCTTTTACCCTATACTATACAGATTTCAGGGGGGAGACCAGCGTTTCTCAAACTGGGGGGCCTGACCCAAAAGGAAGTTGCGGGGGAGAGAGTGTTGCAAGGTTATTTTAGGGGGGGTCATGGTCTTGCCACACTTACTTTGCGCTGTCTTCAGAGCTGAGCAGCCAGAGAGCAGCGACTATTGGCCAGGCACCCAGCTCTAAAGGCAGCGCCCTGCCAGCAGCAGCACAGAAGTAAGGGTGTCAATACCATACCAGGCCACCCTTACTTCTGCGCTGCTGCCTTCAGAGCTGGGCGGCCGGAGACCGGCGGCTGCTGACTGAGGGCCCAGCGCTGCAGGGAGCAGCACAGAAGTAAGGGTGTCAATACCATCCCATGCCATCCTTACTTCTACACTGCTGCTGGTGGCAGCTCTGCCTTCAGAGCTGGGCTCCCGGCCAGCAGCCGCCGCTCTCCACCTGCCCAGCTCTGATGGCAGTTGCCGCCGTCAGCAGCACAGAAGTAAGGGTGGCAGTACCGCAACCCCCCTACAATAACCTTGTGCCCCCTCCACACAACTCCTTTTGGGGTCAGGACCCCCGCATACAACACTGTGACATTTCAAATTTAAATATCATGAAATTTACGATTTTTAAAATCCTATGACCATGTAATTGACCAACATGGACTGTGAATTTGGTAGGGCCCTAGTTATAACCCTAACTGTGGCGTCAGTCCTCTTTGCTGCGCTAGGATGTAGAGACAGGTTGGAAAGGAGGGGTTGATTTTTCCTTCGGACAGCGAAGTTCTGTTTTCTCCCCAGTTGCTGGATGACCTCTGGGAGGTCACAAGCAGGCTCTGAATGAGCTCTAATCGGTGGGTGTTATCCTGTCCTTTATTCAAAGTGTTCCTTAGCCATTGGACTGAAGGATGCGTTAAGGAAACCAAACAGCCTCCCCAAGGGTTTTAAACAGTCTGTCTAAAAATCCCCTCCCCTCTCAACTGTCCAACGCTCGCTCCTTCGTCTGGTCATCACAGAGTCTTCCACCCTAGGGCGTCCATTTCTAATTCAAAATTAAGAGGGTAAGGGAAAAAAATCCCTCTCAGGTTGCCCGAAAAAGCCAAAAGGCAGAAGTGTAAACTTGAGACACTCCTTGCAGGTCATAGACTCATAGAAGATCAGGGTTGGAAGGGACCTCAGGAGGTATCTAGTCCAACCCCCTGCTCAAAGCAGGACCAATTCCCAACTAAATCATCCCAGCCAGGGCTTTGTCAAGCTGGGCCTTAAAAACCTCCAGGGAAGGAGACTCCACCACCTCCCTAGGGAACCCATTTCAGTGCTTCACCACCCTCCTAGTGAAATAGTTTTTCCTAATATCCAACCTAGACCTCCCCCACTGCAACTTGAGACCATTGCTCCTTGTTCTGTCATCTGCCACCACTGAGAACAGCCAAGCTCCATCCTCTTTGGAACCCCCTTCAGGTAGTTGAAAGCAGCTATCAAATCTCCCTTCACTCTTCTCTTCTGGAGACTAAACAATCCCAGTTCCCTCAGCCTCTCCTCGTAAGTCATGTGCTCCAGCCCCCTAATCGTTTGCGTTGCCCTCCGCTGGACTCTTTCCAATTTGTCCACGTCCCTTCTCTAGTGGGGGGCCCAAAACTGGATGCAGTACTCCAGGTGTGGCCTCACCAGTGCTGAATAGAGGGGAATAATCACTTCCCTCGATCTGCTGGCAATGCTCCTACTAATACAGCCCAATATGCCATTAGCCTTCTTGGCAACAAGGGCACACTGCTGACTCATATCCAGCTTCTCATCCACTGTGACCCCCAGGTCCTTTTCTGCAGAACTGCTGCCCCCCGGTGCAGGGGATTCTTCTGTCCTAAGTGCAGGACTCTGCACTTGTCCTTGTTGAACCTCATCAGATTTCTTTTGGCCCAATCCTCCAATTTGTCTAGGTCCCTCTGTATCCTGTCCCTACCCTCCAGTGTATCTACCACTCCTCCCAGCCTAGTGTCATCTGCAAACTTGCTGAGTGTGCAATTAATCCCATCATCCAGATCATTAATGAAGAGGCTGAACAAAACCGGCCCCAGGACCAACCCCTGAGGCCAGGGCTGGCTCCAGGGTTTTTGCCGCCCCAAGCAGCAAAAAACAAACAAACAAAAAGCCGCGATCGCGATCTGTGGCACTTCGGCTGCAGCTCTACCGCCACCGCTTCTTCGGCGGCAATTCAGCGGCAGGTCCTTCGCTCCGAGAGGGAGTGAGGGACCCACCGCTGAAGAGCCGGACGTGCCGCCCCTCTCCGTTGGCTGCCCCAAGCACCTGCTTGCTGAGCTGGTGCCTGGAGCCGGCCCTGCCTGGGGCACTCTGCTTGATACCGGCTGCCAACTAGACACTGAGCCGTTGATCACTACCCGTTAAGCCTGACAATCTAGCCAGCTTTCTCTCCACCTTATAATATACCTTACTCCTTACTGCCAATCCGTACGTCTTTAACTTGCTGGCAAGAACACTGTGGGAGACCGTATCACAGATGCCCTTTGACAGTGTTTTGTCTGGGAATCGATTCATAGATAACTTGCATTGCAGGTGTGCCAACGGCTCCCACTCTCGAGCCGGTTGCTCTGTGCTGGGCGCGGTACAAGCACCTAACAAAGAGCCAGTGCCTGCCCCAGGAAACCAGCTTTGCTTCCTCTGCTCTGAGTCTCTCGCGCCGTCCGTGGCCCAGGAAGACTCTGCTCTCACCATTGACGTGGACAGATTTCAGCTCTCCGTCCTCTTCAATTTCCACCTGCTCCTGCCCGTTCTCCACAGTCCTGGGAAGTAGACAAGAGCCAAAGAAGGGGAAGCATCTCTTTAGGAGTAACCTAAACACCTCACCCCCTATATATCACCCCCAGACCCTCCTCGTGCCCCCCCAAATCCCCAGCTGCCACCTGTTCTCTTTTAGACCCCTTAGAGTGCTGTTCCAGACACATGGCCCAGTCTGATGATAACTGCCCCGGGCAGCAGGAGTCAAACACGGTTCTTTGGACCAGCTGAATCCACTGGGCCATGCTGCTCACCTAAACACTGGCCTGTTGTCCCTACTAGCCCAATGGGCTGCTCCCCTGTGTTGATGTGAGACGAGCTGGCTTAGCCAAACTCCCACCGGCTGGTGGCCCCTCCTTACCTTTTGGTTGTGACGCGTTTGCCATTGACGAACTTGGTCGAGGTAGAGAAGAAGTGGAAGCCTTTTCCTGCGTTGATGTTGGAGTTGAAGGGTCCAGAGGTTCCTGAAAAACAAGGTGGTGAACACATTGCCAGGTGCTTTCAGCCAGCCCCAGCCCCAGATGGCTTAGCGGGGATCCCTTAGCCTAGAGTATGGGTGTGTGGTGGGGGACCCTGGGGAATGAAATCTATGGGAGGTGTGAAATGTAAAGGGAAAATGTTCTTCCGGGATCCTGAGAGAGAATGTCCCTGTGAGTCAGAAGAGCTGGGCAGGGGGCAGGCGGGAGACGAAAACAGTAAAGAACAAGGAGCAAGGCCAACTCCCAGGGGGTCTGCAGAGAATGGCAGAAAGCCCATGAACAGGATTGGGGTGTGATTCTTCCTCCCCATCTCCGCTCCTTGGCTAATGTGGGAGGATCCCGTTGCTGATAGGCCGAGATACGGTTGTGGGCCTGTCTGGGGCATTGTGAGTGTTCGTCTCCCATGAGAATGAATTGTGGAGACTCCACGCCCAGGCAGGACAGCCCCTCTGCTAGGCAGCCAGGGCTCCGGATGTTCTATAAAATAGCTTTGCCCTGGATTCAGAGAAGATGCGGGGGTCGTCCTGCACATCTGTACTGACATGTGTGCCTCCCCTAACGGACCCTCGGACCGTGGGAACTGTTCAGGAGCTGAGCATGTGGAGACCCCGCTGGGGTTCTGGAGAAAGCCCTGACATTCACCACTGGGAGAGTTCAGGAGAATTCCTCTTTCATTTCTTCCTTCAGCTCTCTAGCCAAGTACCCAGGCCATGCTCTGTCCCAACTATAAGGACCTAAGCACTGCTCGATCACACCGAAACCTCCCTTCTGCTCCCTCAGGCCCCGGGTTCATTACTGGGCCAGCTGGTCCCACAGGAGCTGAGGCTTCCACTCACCATAGAAAGGCTCTTGTCCCCCAAAGAACTCTCTGAAGATGTCATGGGGGCTGCGAAAGTGGAACATAAATCCAGGGGCTCCATCTTCAGCCCTCGGTCCCCTGGACCCTGCTGGGGAAAGGCAGAGACAGGAAATGGCAAACGCGGCGCCCAGGCCCTGGAGCCGGCCCTCGCAAGGGTCCTCGAAAGGAACGAGAACAGGAAGCAAACAGGACAGCCTGCTTGGGGCTGCCAAGGCTGGGATCCCGTCTCTCCCCACCGCAGAGCTCTGGGGCCAGGAGAAAAGGCCCCTGAGTGCGATGCTGATCTGGAACATGGCTGTGGAAATGTGGCCCCTCCTCCCTCAGCCAATGGGCTCCCTGTGGATATTCGCAGGTGGACAGAAGCAAACCTTCTGTGCCTTGGGCTCTTGCTAGCCCTGCGGAGCCAGCCCAGCCCGGGGAGAATGAGCCGGGGTCGATTCTGGTTTGTGCATCACCAGCAGAATTGGGAGCAAAGTTCCAACTGCAGGGACAAATTCTGGCCTCAGTGAAGCCAGAGCGTTGGGCAGATGTAGCTGAGGGCAGGGTGGGTCACTCACCGGCCCCCGTGAGCCCGTCCTTGCCGTAGCGGTCGTAGAGGTCGCGCTTGCTCTCTGGAAGGGAGAAAGAGCGAGAGGTCACCCAGCCCATCTTCAGCCAAGTCCAGACACAGAGGCCCTTTCACCAGGCTGACCCCCCGTCCCAGTACTGAGCCAGAGGGGGCCTGCACGCAAATAGGGAAGCAGCTGGAGGGACAGACATGGGACTGCCACAGGCTCCCAGCCCAGCTATGGGAGACGCTTGGATACCGTGGCACTAGACACCATAGAGATACCTAACATAGACTGACACTGGGTGAACGGTGCCAGGGTAACTCCACATCAGAGGGTGCAGGTGCACCATGCTGCAGGATTCCAGTATGAAACGGGGCTCTGGCTTCTGCCCCGGGGCAACGGCCTCTGTCTAGGGTACCCCACACCTAACGACAGGCAGGGATTAGGCCTGGCAGAAGGATGCCCCGTGGCTCAGCTGCAGGGTACCTTTCATCCCTGGGGCCTGTGCTGGAGGGGAAGGGAGAGCCTGGAATGATGGGGCCGGAGAGGGTGGCACCCCAGCCGCTCCAGGAGGTGTCCCCAGGGAGCTGTGCAAAGCTGGTGCCCCAGGACAAACACACAGACACCGAGCGTGTGCGTCAGAAGCTGCTGCCCAGGCAGCCACAAGGAGCACAACACAAGTGCAGCGAGGAGCATCGACCCACAGGGCACTAAGCGAGGGCGGATGGCTAGGTTGGGGAGATGCTGGCCCCTTACTGTCCGACAGCACTTCATAGGCCTCCGCGATCTCTTTGAACTTCCGCTCGGCGTGTTCCTTGTTCTCCGGGTTCTTATCCGGGTGCCATTTCAGCGCCGCCTTCCTGTACCTGCACAGGCCCAGAGACAGTCAGTGACACCTGCCCATGCCGGCTCCAACAGGGACCCTATGCTACCCTTTACTCTCAGCTGCAGGTGCCAGCCACTGTGCCACAGCACTCCAGTGGCATTGCCCGGCGATCAGAGGAGCAGAGGGATCTCAACCCAGGACCACCACTTCTGTCTCTGTTAGGAGGGGCCCTGGGTCTGGGAGAGTGCTGGCAGTCACCGACAGAGGCAGGAGGAACCGTGCCCTCAGGATGTTTGGGGAAGGGGATGCTCCAAGGAAGGACTTACGCCTTTTTGATGTCCTCGTCAGAGGCGTCACAGGGAATGCACAGCACTTCATAGTACTCCCTCATGGTGGCCATCAGTCCTGGGCAGAGGCCAGCTGGGTAGCGGGGCAGCAGAACCAGCGGCTCTGGAGATGCAGCACGAGGCGGAGACGGTAGGGCTTGAGCCGTGGTCCGTGGAGCTCATGGCCTTTCGTCTAGCTGGGCATCCAAAGCAGAGAGGCAGCAGGTGTGTCCTGTGAAGAGCTGGCCCTGTGGAGCGCAGAACAGAACAATCCGCCTGGAAGTCCCAAGGAGGGGGCATTTCACCCCCCGCAGTCAGAAATTCGGAGGGGCGGGGCTGCCCGCTCCCGCGGGGTAGTGTGTCTGGCTCTGCGCAGTCAGGGGACAAGGAGCAGGGAAGCTTAGATAGGGGGTGAGGTCCTGGTGGGCAGTTAGGGGCAGGGGTCCCAGGAGGGGGTAGTCAGGGGACAAGGAGTGGGGGGGTTGGGGATTTTGAGGGGGGCAGTCAGGAGGTGGGAAGTAGGAGGGAGTGGATGGGGGCGGGGCTCCCTGGGTGGGAATCCCCACATTCACCCTAATGAAATGTGCTGCGCACGCCTATGGCTGGGGGCCAGGAGCTGAAGAAGTCTCACTCTAGCTCCGGAGCGGGAAGGGCCTGGCTGCCTGGGAGCTCAGGGGACCAGGCCTAGAGCAGGGCTGGGGAAGGGCCAGAGGAGCTGGGGCGCTCCAGCCTGGTAAGCCCCCAGGCTGCAGGCCTTGGTGAAGGCCTAGGAAGGTTCTGGGGCTGCAGAGGGGCAGCCTGGGGTTAGGCAGAGGCAGCTGATCCAACCTCCTGGCCGATGAGGAGTGGCCGTGACAGACGGCAGTTTGCCCAGGGAGCAGGGGCTAGATGACGACTGCAATAGCCACTGAGGCAGGGTGGGGATAGGGGATTGGGGGTTCCGCTGGGAGGGGAGACCCAGAGCGTGGGGACTGCCGGGGGGGCAGAACCCCAGGGTAAGGGGCACCGGGGTCTGGAAGGGACATGGGGGCCTGGAAGGTGTGACACCGGCCACCAGGAGGCGCTCCGAGTGCTGGACAAGCTAATTCCCAGGACGACCAGTAGGAGGCGCTGCACCAGTGAGTCTCGCTCTGTTACAGGATAGATGATAAGATAGAAAATGTCATATTGCCTCTATATAAATCCATGGTACGTCCACACCTTGAATGCTGCGTGCAGATGTGGTCGCCCCATCTCAAAAAAGATATATTGGACTTGGAAAAGATTCAGAAAAGGGCAACAAAATGATTAGGAGTATGGAACAGCTGCCGTATGAGGAATGATTAATAAGACTGGGACTGTTCAGCTTGGAAAAGAGATGACTAACGTGGGATATGATAGAGGTCTATAAAATCATGACTGGTGCGGAGAAAGTAAATAAGGAAGTGTTATTTGTGCCTTCTCATAACACACACACTAGGGGTCACCAAATGAAATTAATAGCAGCTTTAAAACAAACAAAAGGAAGTATTTCTTCCCACAACGCATAGTCAACCTGTGGAACTCCTTGCCAGAGGATGCCAAGACTATAATAGGGCTCAAAAAAGAACTAGATAAGTTCCTGGAGGATCGGTCCATCAATGGCGATTAGCCAGGATGGGCAGGGAGGGTGTCCCTAGCCTCTGTTTGCCAGAAGCTTGGAATGAGCGACAGGGGATGGATCACTTGATGATTCCCTGTTCTGTTCATTCCCTCTGGGGCACCTGGCATTGGCCACTGTTGGAAGATAGGATACAGGACTAGATGGATCTTTGGTCTGACCCAGTATAGCCGTTGTTATGTCCTTATGTTCTTATGATTTTTCAAGAACAAATCATGTCAAACCAACCTAATATCTTCCTTTGACAGGGTAACAAGCCTTGTGGATGGGGGAGGGGGGGAGCGGTAGATGTGGTATTCCTTGACTTCAGTAAGGCTTTTGATGCTGTCTCACATGACCTTCTCATAAACAAACTAGGGAAATACAACCTAGATGGAGTTACTATAAGGTGGGTGCATAACTGGTATGAAAACCATTCCCAGAGAGTAGTTATCAGTGGTTCACAGTCAGGCTGGAAGATCATATCGAGTGGGGTCCAGCAGGGATCAGTTCTGGGTCTGGTTCTGTTCCCTATCTTCATCCATGATTTAGATAATGGCATAGAGAGTACACTTATAGAGTTTGCATCCGAGACCAAGCTGGGAGGGGTTGCAAGTGCTTTGGAGGATAGGATTAAAATTCCAAATGATCTGGACAAACTGGAGAAATGGTCTGAAGTCAATAGGATGAAATTCAATAAGGGCAAATGCAAAGTACTCCACTTAGGAAGGAACAATTATATGCACACATACAAAATGGGCAATGACTGCCTAGGAAGGAGCACTGCAGAAAGGGATCTGGGGGTCATAGTGCATCACAAGCTAAATCTGAGTCAATAGTGTAACGCTGTTGCAAAAAAAAGCAAACATCATTCTGGGCTGTATCAGCAGGAGTATTGTAAGCAAGACATAAGAAGTAATTCTTTCGCTCTGCTCCATGCTGATTAGGCCTTAACTGGAGTATTGTGTCCAGTTCTGGGCACCACATTTCAGGAAAGATGTGGACAAATTGGAGAAAGTCCGGAGAAGAGCAACAAAAATGATGAAAGGTCTAGAAAACATGACCTATGAGGGAAGATTGAAAAAATTGTGTTTTGTTTAGTCTGGAGAAGAGAAGACTGAGAGGGGACACAACAGTTTTCAAGTACATAAAAGGTTGTTACAAGGAGGAGGGAGAAAAATTGTTCTTCTTAACTTCTGAGGACAGGACAAGAAGCAATGGGCTTAAATTGCAGCAAGGGAGGTCTAGGTTGGACATTAGGAAAAACTTCCTAACTGTCAGGGTGGTTAAGCTGTGGAATAAATTGCCTGGGGAGGTTGTGGAATCTCCATCCTTGGAGGTTTTTAAGAGCAGGTTGGACAAACACCTGCCAGGGATGGTCTAGATAATACTTAGTCCTGCCATGAGTGCAGGGGACTGGACTAGCTGACCTCTCGATGTCCCTTCCAGTCCTACGATTCTCTAATAGGTAGGGGAGGGCCTGGCCATGAAGGTCACTGAAAGTGAAGACGGGTCGGTTATGTTTCATGCAGTAGAGAAGGGGGAGCCAGGGAATGGAGGCAAAGAGGGGGTGACATGGTCAAACCCTGGGCTAGGAGAATGATCTTTATTAGGTTATTAGGCCCATGCTCAGTAGACACTCTCGCCGACACTCTTGCTTCTTCCTTCACCCTTTTTTTCCTGTCTTCTGCTCTGGTCCAGTTGCATCACGGGCTCTCCAGTCGCCACCTCTCCTCCATCACCATCCCCCCTTCTCTTTGCTTCCCCATCCTTGGCACCTCTGCCCACCTCTCCCCACTGCCCAGAGCCTCTCTCCTGCTCAGCAGCTCCCCTGGGGCTCTACCGCTTGAACACAGCTCAGCCCATACCTTACTGCTGCAGGAGAGACGATCCCAGCTGCATCCTGGTCTCCAAAATCCTGCCCCTCTGATTCCACTGCACACCTGCGGCTGCTCTGGGGAGGAGGGGCGGGGCAGGAGCTCACTAGCAGCCCCTCATATTCCTCCAACTGCTGCAGCCAATGGAAAGCTCGGTCTGATTGTGATGTCAGAGCTTTGCACTTTCATTCAGGAGGTTACAATAATCAGCCCCAGGCAACAAGTGGGCAAGATGCGTTAACGGTTTAACCCTTTGTTTGACAGTCCTTCCTGTCACCTGCAGTGCACCCCCCACTATTAACTCTTTCACTGTTGACATGTATTAGCATTTTGATGAGTCAGACCTTGCTGCGGAGCAGGCTATACTCTCCTCTGTCTCCCCTTAGGGTGATACGGGATCCCCAGGACTGAGTCACCTCGTTCGGTGGCCTGATAGCTACAGACCATCCTCTACAGCTCTGTCAACGTTCGTCCCACCCACACCCTGTGTGTGCCTGCCGCTGGAGATCGCTGCCCTGAGCACATATTCCCTCCCGCCTCAGGTGTTTCCCAGGCCCTGGCTGCGGTGGGTCCCAAGCTATGTATCCCAGCCGGCTGCCGCGCTGCTGGAGTCCGAGCTGAGCACGGCCGGACCCCCGCACACATGGCACTGATCGGGCTTTGGGAGGTAGAAGTTCCTCCTTTGTGGCTGCTAAAACAGGGCAGGCTAGTTTATGTAACCTCTCCGTGGGTTTTCTGAAAAGCTGCTTGGATTCCAGCCGCCGTTCCTCCCAAGATCGTGGTTTGGAGCCAGGGCCCGTTTTGGGACAGTCTCCCTTTGAGTCAGTCCCACTGTCTGAGTGACACAGAGTGAGTCAGACAGGGAGCAATGGAAGAGATGGGATGGAGGGAGAGCAGCGAGCAGATGATCCAGCAGGTGTGTTGTGGGTGGGTGGCTGCAGGAGGGGGGTGTAGAAAAGAACCTGGGGGAAATGAGGGAGGAAGAGGTTAGAGGGAGGAGGAGACAGTGGTCTGGAGTGAAACCGATGCTGAAAAAGAGAGGTGGGGGTGGGGGGAAGCAATCAGGATTCCAGAACAGGGAAGAAAGGAGCAGAATGTGTGTGTATGAGAGAGAAAGAGGTACCAACGACTTTGGGAGACGGAGGTGTCAGAGCAGAGATGCTGAAGCAAACTGATCATTTACAATGTAATTAGTCATGAGGCCATCCGGTCCAGCCAAGAATTCTGAAGGAGCTTAAGTACGAAGTGGCTGGGCTCCTAGCAAAAATATGCCAACTCTCCTTCTATTCTGTTACTGTTCTAGAGGGTAGCAAATACTGTACCGATATTTAACAAACTCTGTAAGGGTGATCTGGAGAATTATAGACCAGTAAGACTTGGATCTGTTCCTGGCACAGTTTCTGGAAAGGAAAGTCATGTCTCACTAGTCCCTTAGAATTCTTTAAACATACCAATGAAGTAACAGCTAAAGGCGACCAGTTGACATCATTTATTTGTATTTCAAAAGGCCTTTGAAAAGGCCCCACACAAGAGGCTACTAAAAATCGAAGTTGTCATGGGGTGAGAGGCAAAGTACAGTCATGGCTCAAAAACTGGCAAGGAGACCGAAAGAGTAGAGTAGGATTCGATGGCCAGTTTTCATCATGGCCAAAGGCTAACAGCAGGGCCATACAGCTCTGTACTAGGTCCCATGTTGTTTAATAGATGT